GGTTTTCTCCACTCTTGAGAACATTTGTCATTCTGTGAGTGCCTTTAGTCCCGGATTGATGAAGTCATAACATCAATTGCTCAGACTTTATTGGTGTCATTTTTTTCATCGTAATAGTGTGGAACCGTGAAGTGATTCATACACCACTAAGGCAATAAAAATGTTATGAAGTGCAATCATTGCATGTTTCATGCTCAATAGCTAATTTTTAATTTCACCATCTTGGACATTTTTTCATCCCCTCAGGGTTCCTAAATAGGAAAGGAGAATCATTTGGACTTGGAAAACAGGAAGAATGATTCAAAAAGAAATTAATTTATGTGGTCGTTCATTTGTTTTACTTTTGCAATTACTTCTGCTGTTTGTGTCTGAACAATAATTGTCATTCCATGCATCAGATACCTACTTGTTCAGTTCTGCAGTGAAATCACAGTCCTGTGTTTGTGACATCATTTGTTTTACCATAAAGAGGAAAATACCTCACCTGTGGCATCGTATGAAGTTGCATTATGGCTCGATCAGAATAAAGGCTAAAGTGAGTCTGAGAGGAGAGGGAGAAACTGAGTCTAAAGGATTTTTTTTCTGTGCTGCCTTCTGGCTAGAAAACGTCTTCCTACAAAGGAAATCGTTTCCTCCACATTTAGCAGAATATCAGCTTTATGTTCCTTGTTTATTGATAGTAAAACCTTAATGGAATTGAAGTCTTTATGAATATATATGTTTATTGCATCGGGCTGCTGACTTTCATGCTAAATTTTGGTCTTTAGTGATTTGAAATTAAAGAGTCACAGAAAATTTCCTGAACCACCCAAGAGAGGGGGAGGCTGGGGGTGACTTACCTTTTATTGTACTATAGCAATTGCTAAAAGTCCTGTGAAATAGAAGATAAGAGGTGATGTGTGTTGGTGCTTGCGTGTCCTTTACAGTTGGCATGAGCTTTGCTTTCATGCTTTTGGAGTGGAGAAGGATGCAGGTTTCATGGGATAGGCTGATTATCAGAAGTATTGGCTGTGAGCATCCTTTGGTGTTCGCCCTGCTGAACTTGGAGGATGTACTGGGACAGCAGCAGCGGGAATATGCCTTGATAGTTCCATATCACACTGGTACCAGCCCCTTCCACAGGGGAGACAGATGATAAAACTTACAAGGGAGAGTTTCATATTCTTTCTTTAATATTCAAATATATCTTTAATGTCTTCCCAAATGTTTATATAACTCTTACTGAATTGTAGTTTAGCTAAAAAAAAAATGTACTTTCATGTGTCTTCTGTTTTTCTTGTATTAACAGAGTATCAGTTTTACAGGAGTTTTCTTTCTCCATGTTTAAGTTGGGGTGTTAACCCATCGATACCTGAAAAAAGTCCATTTGGACATTTTGGATTTGTGAGCCAGATGAACTATGGTTTTCCCTTTCCATATGTAATCCTCTGCAGGATTTATGGAAGTACCTTTAGAGAATAATTCTTAAAATGTGTAGGATGGGAGGTAGATGGAGCAAAGCATCTGCCTCCAAGTTAATGTTCTGTGCTTTCATTTCTTTAAGAGTCTTAGATTATGAAAAACTAAAACTCTGTAAAGTAGGATTTTGCATTTTTTTCCTGCTTTGTATATTAAAATTCTTTGACACTTGCTGGTTTCTTTGCATTTGCAAGGACACTTTCATCTTCCAGGACCAAGTTCTGCATTTTACTGTAAATCCTTATAGGAATAAGCAATCGAGGGTGTAGAATTTGGGGCTAAGCAAGGCTGAAGGTGATGTAAAATCATCTCTGCTTTGGAGGACAGTGCAAGGAGCCACCCTCCTACCTAGGATAGGGAATGACAACCCCAGTGTTGTCTTTTCTTTAGGTATTGTCCCTTAATGCAGCTCATCCAACTAAGGTTGTTACTGTCGCATTGGTAAACGTGCAGCTTCCACTCTGTGACTTTCCTAAACTTATAAGGGAGCTGAGATCCACTGGGCCACAGCCAAATGTGGAGGAGGAGCCTATGTCTGATGGTGCAGGAATCCAAGGAAGAGCTTGTTGAGGGGTCACGTAGGCCTTTTCCCCTTCACGCAGAGAATTAGCATGTGCAATTCAGATGAAGTCAGTAGCCAAACAGCAAAATCTCAAGCAGTTTAACTGGCATTTAAGGTTTAAATCGATGAGAAATTTTATTAATTAAGAAAGTCCAATCACTCTTTAACGTGCCCAGAATTTAACCTTTAACAAGTAGCATAATCAGCATTTTCTTCTGCAGCCAGAGACCTCTATCTAGTGCACTTACACAGCTGTATGAGCACAGATGTGATGTACTGTTATTCTGTATAAATCTGTCTATGCCATGTAAATCCACACCTCAATAATGTTCCTGTTGTTACCCAGCCCTGCCTGTTTTCCTGGTCTTCCTTTTTCATTCCTGTTACCTCTGCAAGTGGTACCTCTGTCCTCTGTGCTTGCCTTAGAGGTACGAGACAGGAGTGTTTCACGATTCCTGCCTTGCAAATTGTCAGCAGGGTTCTGAAGTGAAATACCTGCTTGTTATTCCTGGAGATAAATGACACAGAGCTGGAGCATATCCTTGGGAGATCTGGTAGTGCTGCTGTCACTGTAAGGCAGACTTTGCTATTCAGGGACTTCACAGAGCAGCATTTTCTTCTTGCCCCACCAAAGCACAGATTGTAGCAAAGAAAATTTTACATGAAGGTCTCAGTGTGGTAATATGGAATAAGTAAATCTTTCAGCCATTATCTCTTTAAAACATTTATTTCTCAAAATAAAGAGAAGTTCCCCTGGTTTTTCAGACACGCAGTGGCCTGGAAGTTCCCCACCTAATTGCAGCACTGAGGTGAGTGGTGGGAAGCATTAGGCACTTTGAGAGATTATCCTGATCTATGACTTTAATATGCCTTCTGTTACTTGCTTTTCCCATTCACTGTATGAAAAACAGTCACCTGTTGGGCACAGGAAGAAAGAGCCATTTCAAGATTCTGTGACCTAAGTATGGTTCTTGGGAAGGACATTTTTAGCTGTGGGGTTACAGCCCTAAAGGTGTGCAGGCTGTGGTGCATCTGCTGCTGGGCCGTTCGAGGAGGTGGTGTGGCTCCTGCAGAACACATCAGGAAACTTCTCTCAGTTCCTCCTTTGAGACAGTCTTGAAAAAGTATCAAAGTGTTAAGTCTGTCTTTTCCTTGAGTAGTTTATTCCAGTGGTTAGTTACTGTCGCTGCTCAACTTGTGCCTTATTTCTCTGTGAATTTTTCCGTGTCAACTTCTTATTCCTGGTTCTTGATTTGTCTGTCTTAATATCTACCCTCAGTATTTCTCCAGCTCATGAACACCTTGATAGACTGAGTGCCTTCAGTCTCCTACTACACATTTTCTAGGTCATGAGTCATTTTTGTAATATTTTTCCTTTATGTCTACCCAAATTCATTTTAGTTTTATGGAATAATTCTCTATGGAGGAGTTCTTGATATTCTCATCACTATTGTATTTGGTTTAGTTAATGTGATACAGCCTCGTGTTTTAGGACTCATGTCACTTAGAATATTATATACAATAGTAATTCCATTTTGTGGGGCAACCTTAATTTACTTTTGTAGAAAAAAACCCTGACATTTAATTGATTCTTAACCAATTGATGTCCCAGTGCATTTCCCTTTTTACTGTATTATTAAGTATAGCTCTGTCCTGAAAATATTGTTCTTCGGATGAGTGTTTATATGTCTAATACACTTTCCTCTTTGACCTGGTACTTTACATGTGCCAGAGATGAGACAGAGCACGTTGCTCCTCCTTGCCAAACTGCTTATTCAGGTATTCACAGCTCAGCCAGGCAGGTGGGTGATGGTGTGGAACTGGGCTCCAAAGAGCAGCAGAGTTTCACAGAAAATAGGATACTGAAGTAATAAAACTTAGAAGAAAGGGAAGCCACAGCCATTTTACTACTGTAAAATGTATCTTCAGGATACAGAGTTTTCTTGGCTGAGGGTGCCTATGGATTGCCACAGAGTGGTGAAGAGATATTACCATTATCTTGTGATATATTCTCATGGTCAGGGATCCTTAGAGAGAGACATCAACTTCTGTGGAATTATTTCATTCTGGAGCCTCCAACCAAATCCCATAAAGGAATCAGACCTGACAGAAGAGCTTGCTATACATCAGCCCTTGCTGTGTCTACTATGATAAATTAAAGGTTGCTCTGGATAGGACTTACATATATTTTGTTTGACCATTCCTGCTAAATGATTAATATCCTCTCTTAACCTCAGAAATAAGATGAGGAACTGCCAAGTTCTTCCACTGAGATGGTTTAATGAAAATTGTTCTTTGCCAGAATTTTGAAGGTCAAAACCGACTTAAATATGTAAACAGACATTCCATCAAGGTAAAGCAAAAAAACTTGCAATTAATCTTTTTTAAAGAAGTTGCTTCCTTCCTTTGAGAATTTCAAACAGTGCCAGACAAGGTTCTTCTAAATTTCCTTCATCATCTCCCTGAAGATTCCCTGTTAATTAACTTAGTCATTTATAAATGTTATGAAATCATGTTATTGACTTATTTCTATTTGTAAAGGCACCAGGAAATTTGTGTACTGCACCTTTTGAAAAGTAATTAATGTTTCACCTCTTAAATGCCTATTGATATTTTTGTGTTTCATATTGATTTGAAATTAATATCTCTGCCAGTTTAAAGCTCACACGCTGGTTTGTCCAGCTTTCAAAGGATGGGCAGGACAGCATCGTTGAGCTGATCCAGTTAAAATGATGACATTCATCTGATGACCTCAAGAGAAAAATACCTGCAAAGTTCTGCCCAGTCTGGGCTTCCTCCCTCTCTGGGGCTGATGGAAGGTGGCCCTTTCCCACATGATTTGGGAGGGGTTGTGTAGGTTTTAACTGACTAGAGGCTTAATGATGGGAGGAGTAAGATCAGAGCAGTTCAAGTACATGTTGTAATACCAAGGGCAGAAACCAGTTGATTCTCTCATGATCCCATCCCGATGCTGCAGCATTATTAAATACTCTGTGCAAGGCCTTGGTGATGTTTTGCAGGGTTATGGGTGGTGCAGAAGTTGCTCTCGTGGTCTCCTTGCTTACCTGACTAATCCAATTTCCTGTTCTGGAGGTCAGGTAGAACCTGTACCCGAGAGGTTTCACCTTTGTGGTGCAAGATGTTGTGGGATTTTCATCCTCTTTAGGTGGGGGATTTGCTTCTCATCAATACCTGACCTGTGGTGGGAAACAAAGAGCAACACTGGATCCACTCCCAAAGGCAGCTCAGCAGCTGGTCAGGCTGCAAAGTTTGGTGTATGCACTCATGGGTGAGTTGCTGGTACTCTGTGGGAAGTTCCTTTAGTTTACTCCTCGGTGACCCTGCATGGCACATTCTTTTCTTGAATAGGGTATATATAGGCAGTTCTGCAGAAGTTTGGCATCTTTTACTGCTGAATAACAAACTCTTTTCTGGTTTGGAAAACAAACTTTAGTGGAGCGTTTTTAGCAGAAGGGTGTCTTGTTGGCCAGTTGACCTCTACTCTGCATATGAGAATTACCTGTTTGTACTGTCAGGTACCCCAAATGTAATTACTGGAAGAATCAGATACAATATGATTAAAGGAATTCATATTTGTTATTCAAGGGTTTTCTCTGTATCAAATACTTCAGGAAAATTTCAGTAACCGGTGACCTCTTTTGAGAAGTGACTCATTGCATTTTAAAGGCTTTATAACCAAGCCATCCCTTCTTGTCAGAGACATGGAAGATGAATAGATCGTTCTTGCCTGCGATTTCCAGTCTCAGGGGAAGTCCCTTTTCACTGCCTGTGGTGATGCTCAGCTGCATCACCACTTTTAATTGCCTCCAGGCTCCTGCAGGACTCTGTGTGTCCCCTCTGGCATGACCTACATCCTTGCAGAACCATGAATCCCTCGGCACTGGTTAGTGGAGTCTAAGCTCAGGACAGAAAGTCCTGTTGTTGCTAATCCCAAGCTGTCTCCCAGTGCTATAAGCTATGTGCCAATCTCTCTCTTGTTTTCCTAAATTCATCTGGCATTATTTTGCCTGTAGAAGGATACAAATGAATTTTCTCTGTTAAAGATGATGGCAGAAAATGTGAGTGCTGTCTTGAGCATTATGGATGCTGGGTGTGTTATTACACTGAAAACCAGAGAGGGACGTATTAAAAAGAGCACAGCTACCTTATCAAATCAGGAGTTCACACATCATGATATATATGTATTTTTTCTTGAAAGAGGGAATAAACAGTGAAGCAATCATTCCAGCTGTAGCCTGAAGTGCACTGCTAGAGGTCAAATCAAACTGTATTGATGTTTCAGGTAGGTCAGTTTAATTTGGAAGGCTTAGGTTAGTGGAGATGGTATTTTGGGTGAATTAAAGTAAACATTACAGTCTGTTGTGGAAAGGAAGCATTTATATAATATAAGATCATCTTGGATACTTATACAATATAAGATCATTTTGGATAGCTCTCCAAGAACATCTGTTCCTGTAGCACTGAAAGCATTGGACCTGCTGCTGGACTTTGTAACATGGGATTGAAGTTACTGGTCCTGTCCTGTCAAAGGCTCAGTATTACACAGGTTCATCTCTTCTAATTTTGCTTTTTCTACATGTTATGGTAGATAAACTAAGAACTTTATTCTCTAGGACTTGTTAATTTTGTTTCCCCCCACCCAGCTTCCAGGTGAATTTACTCATGAGCAGCATGAGTCTATTCTTGAGCACATGTTGCTGACAAGTTTGAGCAGCTTTTTTTGTGTGTCTTAGAAGAGTTTATGAGAGATCATATCCACTCTACCTTTACTAGACTGACCTGTCTTAAATTCTGCTTGGGAAATGCACTCACCTATTCATCTGCTGTTATCCTACTCAGCTTCTCCTGTACTTGTCTGATCTTCCTCCATCAGTGATGCTTTTGTGCTGTTTTATCTGGGGTGGTAACAGTACATCATACAGTGACGTTATCTTCCTAGAAATGCCTTTCTCTAGAAATATCTTCTATGCTCTTCATGGCTTTGTCGTGCTGAGGGCTCATAATTCAGCAGTGATCAGTGGCTCTGCTAAGGTTGTTATCCTTCCTTTAAGTTAATGTATACCAGACTTCCTATCACTGGAGGAACTTGCTGTCAAACTTAATCTCACCTCCATTATTCCACTTCTGAAAGTCATCTTGAGAGATCTCTACTTCCCATCTGATATTTCTCTGCTGCTGTATCACACTGATTTTACCTTCCAGTATGGTGCCACTAGTACATCTCTCTAGGGTCTGTGCTTAACCAGTGCACACGTGAAAACTGCCTTTGCTTTCATGTAGATTTGTACCCGTTCTAAAATTCTTTGTAAACATTTAATGAAGCCTCAGATTGCCCCAGTGGGGCAGGTAGTTTTCCTATCAGTGAATGACTGATAGTGCTCAGAAATAGGGAGCTGGTGACTTGTTCAGCATCATGCCTTGAGTCAGAAATGAGCACTGATGACATAATCCCAAGTCCTCCGCTCTGGAAGTCAAATAACAGTGTATGCTTTTTATAAAGGAAGCTATCCAAAGGCTTGTGTAAAATGGGGCATATGTCAGTGCAAACTTGAGGCTGGGATCTGGAAAGCCATCTGGAAGATAAATTTAATGGGAACTGAGTTTTCAAAGCTCTTGGGTGCTTCAGATAGTGAAGCCTGCATATTTTAGCCACTGATACTTTGATGGATATGCTTTCTTGGGGTACTGTACCTGTACTTTTCCTGGGTAGTATTGGAATACCGGGCTGAGCTTCACCATTGTTTTGCTTTATGTATTTTTTAAAGGTGAGTAGCTCAGGTACATAATGCCAGTAGCTAATAGTACAGAATGCCACACTCATCTGTATTTGCTGTTTTAGTGACACTTACCTTGAGGACTTTTGGCAAGATTCGTTTTGAACTTTCTAACTCTTGAGTTGCATGTGTAATATCTCTGGAAAAAAACCCCACCAGATATCCATGTCTGTCCCTGATGCCCCCAATTCTGTTTGTTGTTGTCGTGTTTATTGTGCAGATTAATCTCTGTGCACGGAGTGATTGTGAGCTTAAGTAATAATGTGGAGTGAAATCTCCTAAGTAACCGAGTTACAGGGAGCACATTCCTGAGAAAGTGAACACTAAGCTTTGCATCCGGCTGTGTAACATGGCACCTCCCTTGTAGTTTGGATTAGTATAATTCCCTCTGCTGCCTCTGCACCGCCTTGACTTGCTTCACTTCTCCAGGATCCAAAACATGCATCGTGTTCCCACAGAAGTTGCCACTTTGGGATTTGCACACAGCTTTACCTGTCCGTCCTCTGCAGCCACTCACCCTCCTGCCTCTCAGCCAGGGAGAAAGCACTCCAACTGTAAGCTTCTTAACCTAAAAAAAAAAAAAAAAATTAAAAAATTGTGCAAATTACCTTTTTGTTTGTTTTGGGTACAGGATAAGACTATCCCAGTTGTGTACAAAGGTTGAGAATAGCATTTCGCCCCAGATAGGATAATCTTTTGATGACAAAGGTTCAAATTTGCAATTAAATTGCTGCATCTTAGCAAATCATAGCTTTGTGTAACTGTTTCTGTGTGAGAGCATTTGGTCTACAGCAACTGCAAACCTAAAGCCCTTCTCTGTGAGCCAACAGAAATCAAACTACTTCAGGATTTTGCTGTGGAAGTCCACATGCAGGGGGTTACTGTGGCTCCCAGCACGTGGCCAGAACAGGAATCTGTGGGTGAGGTGGATGCCAAGGGTTAGAGTGAATTGTGTTAAAAAAGAGATTTTTTTTTTCCTTATTTCCTACCGTTTCACTTGAAACCAGAATAACCCCAGATTAGCTTGTTTGCAGGAGTTTTCCTATCAGAGTCACTGACCTGTGCTTGTTCACAGGTCCTAGGGCAACAAAAAATCTAAACAAGAGTGCACCTTTTGTTTTTCAGCTATCTGGATCAAATTCCAAAGACTGTAATGTAATCCTAAAGCCCCAACTCTGGGGATTTTGTTGCATTCCCTAATCTCTGCGTGTTCTGTGTGATTCCGTGGCCGCCCAGACCAGCCCTTGGCGTGGGACACGGTGCAGGGCCACGCTGAATTCCTATTAAAGGCAATGGGAACCTTTCCAGTGGGTCACAAACGGAGCCTACAGGGAAGGAATCTGCCCTCTGCACAGTAGCAGCCGTACTGCTCGAGCTCAGAGCAGGCACAGCGAGGGTGAGGTGGCCTTGAGAGGAAGTTTCTTTGGTGAGATGTCCTAGTATGGTGTGTTTGCATAGCTGGGCATGGTAAAGAGGATTTCTTGGGAGCAGCTTTTAATCTTCGCCGATGCGGAGCGCAAACACTGTTCTGACATCAATCATGCTAATGGCACATGTGTACACAGAGTAACAATCACCTTTTAAATATGGGAATCACAAAGACGTGCTGACAGGAAAATATATTTAAGCAGCTTCCAGTGTGTGCTGTAATAAGTAAACCAGTCATTGTATTCCACAGAACTGCATGCTTTAAATGCCTAACAGAAAAAAAAAAAAAAAAACCCAACAAAAACCCGACCCAAAGTGAATCACAGTAATAGAAAAGGAAGTGTTTACATCTCTCAAAACATTCTGTGCAACAATCATTCCTTCTTTATAAATTTGATTTCAGCAAATTTGAATCCAAATGAGACGAAGTTTGAAACATAAGCTTTCATGGTAAGGTACAATTCGGTGTGTAATCTTTTGCAGGTGGCTGTTATTCGTTTATTATTTGTATTTCCATATTGCTTAGCAACCCCAGTCCTGGACCAGGACCTCGCTGCTGTAAGTGCTCTGCTAACATCAGCAGAGTGGATGGTTGCTGCCTTGGAGAATGCACTGTTTTGTAGTGAAGCCAAAAGTAAACTAATGGTTTCTCATTCTGTCCTCTCTGAATGAGAAAAGATGAAGGCCGACTGATATTTAGCTACGGGATTATGAGTATAACTCTTAAATTACTGAATCAACACAAATATTTGGGGGCCTGTCAAGCATGCAGGCTCAAGTATGTGTAGTTTTCCCAGGTTTTGTGTCCTGATGGCTAAAATGGGGAGTGCAGCCTCCGAGAACGAGGTGCAGGCAGGATTGCTGCTCTCTGGGTAACCATTTGCTGACGGAGCTGCTCGTGCGGGCAAATAACTACTCATGCTTTGCACATCCCTGCAATTAAAGAGGAACAGCCTACCCTGCATTGTTAAGTACTTACTAATACCTTCCCTGTGAGTGGCACAGCACCTGTATCTTCAGACAATCAATGCACACCACGCTGCATGCATTTACCAGGCAAGTTATGTAAGTCAACATTTGCGAATCTGTATCCGAGTCCTCATTTCACCTCTTAAGTAGGAACGTCTTGATGTTTCAAGGGTTTGCAGAAAGCAGTTAATACTTTCATTTGAGAGCTGGAAAGTTGGAAAAAGTAGACTAACTTTTAGCCTCAAAAGTCCTTTCATCAGCAAATTCCAAGCTCTGACACAGCTGTGGCTGAGCGTTTGGGAGCAGGGATTGCTGCTGTGGGGCAAAGAGGAGCCGCTGAGCATTGGCAGCTTCTGTTTGTCCATCATGGCCAAGCTCTCACATGGTGAGGTTTGGATGTCTGCTTCAAACCCTCCCTCTCGCCCTGCAGCAGCCCTGCTTTGGGTAGGAAACATGATTGTCTGACACTAGACGAGGGTTTGGGCGCTAAACTGGTAAAAACTAAAACTTGAGCGGTGTTAAAATGCACCGGGAGGTCCTCTGGAGCCATTTTCAGTGCTGTTACTAGAATGTGTTTGGCTCAGAAGTGGTGAGAATTTGCTGCTCCCTGACAGGGCCCAGATGCCACAGGGGACCAGGCCATGGCCAAATGCCTCAGGACAGCTGTCTCAGGACGTCGGTGGTTTGCATATGGTGGCATATTTTAATAGCAGGTTCTTGTGCACGGAGGTCACACAGGGGAACCACGTGAAATGCCTTTGTATCAAGAGGTTAAAAACAACTTATGTTAACTCTGGATGCCAGCCAAAGTTACCCAGCTGTTTGGCTGAGACTGGGAGCTGACAGACCAAAAAAAGGGCACATGCAATTAAAATGTCACCTTGTGGAGAGACAGAGAGAGAGGAAGGGGTGGCCATCAATGAAACCAAAGTGAGGCAGGTTTGACTGCAGCAAATGGCTTGGAAGAAGGTGGACCAAGTGTGAACACCATGGGCACATGTTCAGCTTCCCTCAGAGTGCCCTGGGAGATGAGACAAACCTTCCTGTGATGTAACAGTGCGTGCTGGGATGTTCCTGGTAACAAAGGACACCATAAGCTTTAGTTGCTGGAGCTGTGTGGCTGCACTGTCACTAAATGAACTTAACCTTTTTAACTAAGGATGAGAAATACCTGATGTAGAATTTACCTTTTTTGCAGGGCTGGTGACAACTAAAAGATTATTTAAAAGTGTTCAATGTATTATAGTTCCCAAAGCCAGGAGCTTCTATATTTCATTTCACCAGATATGAGTACAGATTGACTAGACTGTAATTGCCATTTTGTACACAACCCTTCTTAATTTCTAAATAGTCTTCTAGTCACAGGTCAATAATTGCTCTGTAAATGCCAAATATTTGGTCTCTGAATGCAATGGCCCATGCTTCTAGTTTGACTTTTCTCCAACTTTACTCTCCCTTCCTCCTTTCTGCCCACAAAAATCATGTTGCCTGCATGGGAGCATGTTTTGTTGTACACTTCCCCTTCTAGTGGTCTAACAAGTTGAACAAACTTGTTGAGAAAAGTCTCTACCTAAATGCAAAGAAGTTAATCTCTAAACTCTTCCAGCAGGAATACTGAAGCCGGTGAAATAGTCCATTTGGATCAGTCTCCTCTGTCAATAAACGGTTCTGCCGAGAGCTTTCCAATGCCTGGCTTCATCAGTAGGTGGTTTTCACAAGTGCTCTTCTAATAAAGTGTCATCTTTTTCAACCCTGACGTCATTGCCACTGGACATGTTGCATCTTCTCGCCTCGAACAGAGGCCCTGCTGCCTTTTTTGAGAGGGTGTTAATGCTACTCACTGAGATGGAAGGAGGGGGAAGGTTTTTCTCAGTACTGATGCCTTAGGAGGAGAGGGTCTGTTTTTGTAAGGTTGTAAATGAAACAACGTGGCTGCAGCTTGGTTTGCAGTAGGTTAAAAAGAAAAATGTTAGAACAAGTTGAAGCAGGCCCCTGCTAATTTATTTCTAATCATTAGGAATGGTCAGACAGTTTTAAAGCCAGAAAGAATCATTGCCTTTCTTCATATCCTCACCCTCTGATTTTCACAGCCTGCCTACTGCTCTGCTTGAGCTTTGGCATCTTGTTTTGGACACAGCCCTCACAGACTGACCTACAGATGCTGCAGTTTTCCACTTCTGTTCTCATACTCTGCCTTAAGTTGCAAATATTGTGTGGGTATGTGCTACATGAAGACCACTGCATTTAGAAACCTGGAGACTTTAACAACATGTAGGTTTAAACCTGGGCTGGAGAGGTAATAATACATCATTTTTCTAGCCTACCTGAAATGCTAAGTTAAAGCAAATTTCCATTTGTTTTGGGATTTTTGGTTTGCTTTGTTTTTTAATAGCATTACTATTTTTATTATTAGAAATTAAAGTAGTAGCCTCAGATTTAGAGGTTTTTCTTCCTCAACAAACTCCATTCTGCCCCAAGTTTTTTTGCTAATACATTGCAAGATTAATAAAATCCCCTGGAACCTTCAATTACTGCAATTTGTGGAGATTTCTGTTTTTCTGTAGGTCTGCAATCACCAGAGACAGGCATTTCTGCCTTTGTATGTACAAGAGCAAATGACTGGAGTCAGGAGCCCATCAGTCTAATGTTATCTGACAATGGGCGTGTGGGATTTTCCAGCACTGAAATCAGTGAACTATTCAAAGTTGCTGCACCAGCCCCTGTCTTTCTTTCTCAAATTAGAGCTTTACAGGGTCAAAAGAAACTTGTGGAACTTGGGACATGCCTCCCAAAGAGGCGAGGTGCTGCCTGACTTTGCCTCTCTGCAGGGCAGCATCTCTCAGCTGTGGATCCGGGAGCAGGGAGGGAGTGGAGGAGGAAGGGAGCTGTGGCTCCCAGCTTTGCCCTGCTGTTGGTCACATCTCTCAGGGTATTAATTTTTGCTCCTGTGCTGTGGGTTGTTGCAGATTTGCCTGTCATGGGGCTTAGGGGCTCCCACGTTATGAGCTGTGGGACCGGATACGACTCTTTCATCCACTCTCTGCTGGCTCTGGTGTTACTTTTCTCAGACATGGAGTTGAGATAACACTTCTGTCCTGCACAGTTCTGTAGGAAAGGCTGTCCCCTCACATGCTGCTTGGAAAACACAAGGTTCAGTAAAAATACTGGGCTTTTTAATGCGTTCTCTCTCAGTAGTCTAAGGCGTTATTTCTCATATAACCAGCTTTTTTTTTCTTTTTTAATATGCCTTTATATCAGCATTGTCCCTTTAGAAAAGGCCTTTTAACTTTGGTGACAGCTTGGATGGTGTTCCATGTGACGTGGTGAATGGAGGGACCATCGTACAATGGGCTCGCTCTGGTTTGCTCAAACTATAAACAGCACGTAAGGGAAAACTTTTTTGCCTTCCATTCTCTGTGTAGTGTTTTGATATTAGTAGCTGACAGATTTCCACTTCTTAGCATTTGTTATCTGCTTTGTATATGCCATTTGTTATCTGTTCTGTATATGACAACAGCATAAAGCTTTTCTTGTACATATTTTTAATAAAAAAGCCAAAATGTTTGAAAGCTAAAACGGATATTACTTTTCCCATGGAGTACACAACCTTCTTTTGATAGCCCAAACCTTTGATAAAGTGTGTTGTAAGCTTGGCAGTGCATTCAGAAAGCAGTTAGGTGTTGGTGGTGGGCCTGTTTTCTTTATAACAGCCAAGCATTTTACTCTCAGAAACATAGTGAGAAACAGTTATAATTACAGATAGTGCTGAGGTGCAACATTCAGCCTTTGATTCAGTCCTGGACTTTTTCAGAATCACAGTGCTGGGGTCTGGTGTCTGGCTTCATTCTGTCAGCAGGACTGAGGGGCAGATCAGGAGCTGTGGACGCGAGGCTGTGCTGTGGAGCCCTGTGACAGCTGCTCATCGAGTGCAGTACGGCCAGAAGAGAGCCCTGTCCTTTGAGCCCTGTCCTTTATCCCGAGCCCTGTCCTTTATCCCGGTTCCTGGCGCTGAGGAAACACCTCATGACAGAGCTGCTGTTGCTGCAGAGGTTTTGCAATCTGCTTGTGAGGTAATGGCACAAGGGGCAGAGGAAGGAAGCTCCCGCACCTCGGGACAGGGTTATCTCCCGATCAAAGCCATTAGCGGTGGTTACCGTGCTCTGGCAGCCAAACCGCTGGCAACGTTTGTGGAGCTCTCCTGATAGTTTGGAAAGGCTTTGAAAGTGAAGGCACGACCCCAGTCTTTGATGCTGTAGGGAAGGGCAAACCAAACCAGCGTGCTGCTGGTCGTGAACTCCTGCGAACTCCTCTTTCTCACTCTGATGTTTGTCTTAGAGGCCCTGGGCTAGAACATTGCTGTGGCATTTCACCTCCTGGCCCGGAGCCCATCGCGATGCCGGTGTATAACCTTGCATAACTGAGCCTTGTTATGAATGACTGGAGAAAGTGCCATTACAGATCTGCTTCTGCCGGGGGCACTCCCCAAAACAGCTCACAACAACACCCCGTGTCTAAAAAAAACCCAGGCACTGCATGAGTTCTCAGAGCCTTTGGTATGCTGATATTACAGCAAGATTCGGTGCTGCACATGACCCACTTACAGCCTGGTAAAGTTTTCAGTTTTGCTTTTTTCACGCAGAGATCCACACTTTCCCCCGTGCTGTCCATTTTTAAAGTCCATGCCGATTAAAAAAAAAAAAAAAAGAAAAGACACAAAAAGAAGATTTCTCTATAGCTGTAGTATATGTCCTCTTGTAAATCCCCGTGTCATTATGATTTTCACATTGGCCTGTTCTTGCTTGTCTTTGTTATTTTGCCTCTCTGTGGGTATTGCCAGTTCTCACACTCCCTGTCCTTAGAAGCTGAGGTGACTCTCATGTGCACCCATCTTAGTGCACCCCTGTCTCTGTTTTGTTACTGATATCTGTGGATTATGCATGAGAATGCCTTTATGTTACAGAAAGAAAATAATGAACAGGAAGGAAATAATGAACTTAAAAGGAGAAGTGCTGAAACTGCTTGTAGTGAAAGTTTTCCCAGCAGTGTAGTGTAGATCGAGCCAGGGCGGCAGGAAGAAACTGCCAGTGGGAGAGCTAGAAAGTGTTCTTCCTTTGTAAACAAACTGCTGAAACTCCTCTCTGCAATGTGTTTATGCCCTCTGTGAGAGATAGGCATCTGTTCACGTAACCCTTGGCGCTAATCAGAAAATCGGGATCTGCTTATCAGCTCCGCTCTCCCTATGCTCGCTCGCCCTCCCGCTCCCTCGGCTCCTCTGTTCGTGCTGCTGCTGCTCTGGGAGGGAGAGGTGAAGTTGGAGCAGCGTGAGACTCTTGCTGAGCTGATCAAGCGCTTCATCTGGGTGTGCTGCTGGAGCCCTGTTTTCGGGGCAGTGTGGGATCCCCTCCCTGGACCTTATTCCCATGAGATCCTGGCCCCTGGCTGTGGCAGCAGGGGCTGCCCGCGGCACCAAGAGCTCTGAAGGTACCGGCAACCGATCAGCTCGGTTCAGTGTAAGAGCTCCACTGAGCTCCCATTTGGTGACAGCCTCTCTTATCTCACAGCACTGCTCCTGAACAAAACGATGCACTGCTGAAATAACTCCCCCCTCCCGCCCCATGCACTTTTTTCTATAAGATGCCCATTTTATACATCTTTTCAACTTCAAGTAGTGTGGTGTTATCAAGATTTACAACACACATCACATGCCCTGCATGACTTAGAGCACGGGATGTAATCTAAGTGCTGCACCGCAAGTTATGAACTTGCTAATTAGCACCTATCCTTGGCATAGACTTCTGGTTAGTGAGGAAATCCCGTAACCTTTCTGCCTGGAACTGCTCTTTAAACAAGGATGCTAATCTTTATGGACCTGATGGGTATGCTATGCCAATTCGCCAGTTAAGATTTTCAAAGCACTTTGAAGATGAAAAATGCTGAGTATTATTGGCCTTTTATCTAAAAAAGACATTTTAAAACATGAAGCTGGGGAAAGATCTGCATAAATTAACACG